AATTCATATTTCTGATAAGAAATAGAGAAGACAAAATGTGTTGGCGGCTATTAAGCAAAATTTTAGGAGACCAGGTTTAAAAAGTGTAGATACATCATTGGTTTGATGAATTCATCGACGGTAAACAGGCTAGAGAATTTCAAGGCTATAAAAAATGGCAAGTGTAGCGAACACAGTTTGGATCAATGAAAATTACTCAGAAATAAAATCAGATTTCTAGTTGGTCAAGCTACGTGTCTGTAACTCTACAGGAAGTTAGCTAGCTAGTATAAAATCAATGTCTACATAAGAAATCCCATCGTCCAAAACTAGTAGGACGTATTAACTAAAATTAATCAGATTAAGGCTTTTTAATACAGCGTCCTTTTCAAATAGTAAACCTTTGATAAATGATGGATTGGTTGAGCCAGACTAAAACCTGAATAAATAATGCAGGTAAAATTATTAAATTAAATTAAATGTACTTTATTAAGAAGAAGCAAGAAAATAGATCTTCAAGGGATCCGGAAGTGACTGCTCGGGCACGCGCCTTGTGCACTCATAGCAGTCCAAATGTGCACGTTCCTATCTTTGCATATCTGCAAAAGAGTACAAATCAGAAATGATGGTCTATATTCTGCAAAAATTGACCTCTAATCATAACATAAGTTGTCAGACTACACCCAAGTCACTAACGTTGGCATGCCCCAATTTTCGTATCGCCTGCTTCGCTTCCTGCTAGTCTTGAATTTAACACCTAGGTTAATTTGCAATAGTGATGCAATAGTTGCTTTACGAATTACAGAAACATCAGCAGGCTAACAAGAATGTGCAAACAGCGGAAATAAGCAATCGAAGCATATAAGCACATACTCAAATACGAACACATTTATAATAGATGAATGGTCGCAAGCGACCAGATATAAAGTAAATTGTTACTTCCGGTATGAAAATGATACGTCACTGTCATAGTGAACTTTGGGGAATGAAAGAGAATCAATAGGAAAAAAGAGGCAAATCAAGGCAAAACAAGATCTATGCTAAAGGTAACCCTCAAGTTACTACAGTAGAAATATCAGTAGGCGAAGCCATGATGGTTTTGTCTGCTTCCCACATCAGTACATAGATAGCTTCGGGATGGATTTGTAGACGTTTTTCTGATGAGTAACGTGGATGCCATATTTGGAGGTAAAGAGATGAAAAACTGAATGAGAAATAAAAGCAGCAAACCAACAGATATAAAAAGTGTACAATCATTTAAATAAAACTTATGACT